TGAGGATGATGAAGGGGGTCATGATGAGAATGATGAGGGTAAAAATGATGATGGGGGTGAGGATGAAGAAGATGGCTGAGAGGGTGGTGATGAAGAGGGGGTGTGGGGAGATGGCAGATGGAGAGAGGGAGAGATAGGAGTGGAGGAAGTGGACTTCATGTCCTCCTCCGTCTCCAGACTGGAGTGTTGTTTTTTGCAGGTGTTCTGCTTTCTATTTGTCTGAAGGACCTTTCGGGTTGGGTTTACTGACCCTGAGACAGTCTTCAGGACTTCTGAATATGTTTTTGTTGTATTCTTCGGCGTCGATCCTTTTGGGTATAGCGTTGCTCTTGCTTGAGCGAACGTTCCGCCGTACTGGGCCCTATGTGTGAGGATGGCTTTCTCCTGACACCACCTCGGACACTCCGTCGAAGATGCAGAGTGACCCCCCTGTCGACAATTTGGGCACCAGGGATCTGCAGAGCAGGTCTCCCCAGAGTGTCCCTCCTTGCCGCAGCGAGGACACGCTGCACCACGACGACAGCGTAGCTGTGTGTGTCCGAAGCGCTGACAGTTGAAACAGCGCATCGGTTTCGGTATATATGGTCTAACTTCGAGTTCTAGGTATGCAATGTCTAATTTTGTTGGTGGTGTGGGTGTGTTGAAGGTAAGGATCCACGTGTTGGTACAGATTTCCTGGGGGCTCTCGTGACCTAGAGGTTAAGGTGTTGGCCTCTCATTCAAAGGTCCCGAATTCGAATCCAGGTAGCGACCGAAACATTTTCTTCTCTAAAATTGTCTCCTTTCACCTCCTTTCCTTCTCTCTAGCAATGTTCTATTGTCTGCTTTCAGTTCCACTGTCTGCCCCCACCCCCTCCCCTCCTTTGCCTCCTCTGGGCTCCTGACTCTTTCTGCAGCCTTTCTACTGCTACTCCTTGACTCCCCCTTGCTGCTGTCTTTCTGCCACACCCCTGATCTTCTGACAGGAAAGATCTACACCTAGCCTTCTCGACAAGGGTGAAAAATCTCGGAGGGCCCGTGTGCAAGTTGCGCACGTTAAAGATCCCTTGGTGGTCTAAAATCGATAACAGTAGGCTTCGGCCGCCACCCGTGCAAAATTCAAAATTTCCTACCAACTGAAAAATATTAGGTGTGTCCCGCGCGCTCATATGACCTATGCAGTTGCGAGCGCCGTAAAACACTTTACAAAAACAAAAACAAACAAGAAAAAAGAAATAGATAGATAGATAGATATATATATAGATAGATAGATAGATAGATAGATAGATAGATAGATAGATAGATAGATAGATATAATGAAGAAGTGAGAAGAGGAGAGAATAAATAGTTCATTCGATATATGCTCAAACAGTGCATTGACTCCGGATCGTGGTGCAGGCCAAGGACAATAATATTACTTACACGTTAGATAAAGAAGGCGTTTAGCAAAATGCCAGATATGCATGGGGTCAACATACATTACGAGTGTTTCTCATTAGTCATTCTTTATTCTACCAGATGGCACCAGATAGTTTTGTTTTGTTATCATTTTGGTTTGTTTGTTTGTGTGCTCAGTCTCCATATGGGCGGCCATAGCTGAACAACAGACATAATGAGCAATTTGAAGTCGATGCGAAACCTTAGCCAGAATACCAGGTCTACGAGTAATCCATTCCGCAATTCGCTTAGATTACAGTATTACCGTTGATGTTTGTATAAAACTATTGGCAGGGAAAGCCGGAGAATAACATCCACCGACAGCCTAACCAATTATTTAACAAAACCCTCAGTAAGGCCCTATCAACAAATTTTCACACATGCATACACACACACACACACACACACACACACACACACACACACACACACACACACACACATACACACACACTCACTCACATATACACACATACACTCACACGT